AGAGAGAGAGAGAGAAAGGCAGGAGGCAGAGGTGGAGGCAGAGCTGAGGACGGGGGAAGGTCTCTCTGGCGGGGGGAGGACGGGTACAGCAACTCTGAAAACAGCCTGAAAAGTTTGCAGCTTGAGAAAGGCAGTTATAATTGAGTTGCTGAATCAGCAGAGTTTAGGATGAATAATTGCTGGTTTCTTTCTCTGGATTAGCATTTTATTTATACTAGATCATTCCCAAATTAAATTTTAAGGATTCCACTCATCGATCAATCCCGGGAGAATAATTTATCGTAAATCAAAAAAGGAAAACAAAGCAACAATGTAATGTTTACTGTGTGACTCAAAGTCAACATTTCTGATGGCAGTCCACTGCCTGGGTTTCAATTTTTTTTAATTCCTGCCTTTTGTGATGCCCTCTCCCAACCCCTCGTGTCTCTAAATATTCCAGGCAGTCACTAACCGATTTCAGCTCTGTTTACTATATCCACACCGTAGTTTTCCTCTCTTTGTAAAAGGCCTAGTCTAAGAATACCTGCAGCCAAATATATTTAGAAAAGAGTAAACAATTGCCTTTCAGTGGAGTTACCCTTCCCCCCTGCACGCATAGGCACACGCACACACACACACACACACACACACATCACTTTAAACTGCCAATTGCAAAAGGTGCATTGCATACTTAACCGCTCTGCTGAAATTACGATGGTCATGAAAAATCTGCTTACTGAAGTTGTTCTGAGATGAATGTTTACATTCGTATGTTTAGAGCTGCACAGATTACAGCCTTATTTCCAGATAACTGTAAATATGTACAAAATGTACTGCTCAGGAAAGCCCCCCGCTCTGTTAGAAAGCCGTGTCTGCTTGACAAAGGTCTTCCCTTGACCAAAAAAAAAAAAAAAAGAAAAAAAAGGAAAAAAAAAAAGCCAAACCCAAAAGCTACAAAGGTGCAATATGCAAACTTGAAACCTAAAATTTCGCCTTGTCAATTAAACAATGTATCACTTTCAAAGTAACTCCATCCCCTGACCCTGTTTACTTCCAATTAGAGATATGCTGATTTGGCCAGGAATTGTAAATTACAGAGGCGCCTTTTCAGGTTTTCAAAATAATCCTGGGAAGGGGGGAAGGGGGAGGAATAAGCATAAATTTATACCAAATAGGCTCTGCAGAGTTGAGGACGTGAAATATGGCGCCCAGCCCTGCCAGTGGCCCGGGAGCTCCAGGTTTGGGAGCGGGAGCGGGGCAGGGAGCGTCCCAGGCCCGGCACCCACCGGGCATCCCCGGCAGGCCGCTCTGCTGGGCTCCCCTCCATGCAGGCAACATCAAAAGGCAAGAAGTTAAACAGCCAAATAATTTTCACACGTGTACACCTCAGTTTAGTGCAAGCCACTAACAAGGACGTTCGTGTTTTTACTACCGTTGGAGAAATTAGCCAGGTACAATAACCCACTGGGGGGAAAAAAAAAAAAGACAGAGGGAAAAAAAAGGTATTCTTTCTAATTCTGGTAGTTTGGTAACTGTTTCTGATGGCATTGTAATTATTATTGCGAGCAGACTTCATTATCATTTCAGCCTTAACAATATAAAGTCGTATAATTGATTTTCGTATAAATAACCAATTTGCTCCCATAAAGGTAAGTTCTAATAACAAGGAAAAATAAAAGTTTTTCTAGTGAGCCAGGTTACCATATTGTTGCAATGTTTACAGGAGACAAAATGCATTAGTAATGAATCGCCACCATTTTCCAATTCCTGGTGTACACAAAAATCAACAGAATTTTCTAGAGGAAAAAGTAATTGAGGGAAGCGCGTGTATGTTACGGACTATACTCCATAGGTATCTGCCACATGTAAAGTTCATTGCTAAATTTATTGGGAAGATTTCTGCTGCCAGATGGAAGACAAAAGAAAGTTTTGGACTATGTTTAATTCTCTAGAGCATTAAAAAGGGAACACGTGTAATGCCTTCAGCAACGAGGTGTATTGCCTTAAAAGATGTAACTTGCCGTTTACAACAATTTACTTTCAGAAGTGATTGTTCTATAACCTACACTTACTTGACTACAGTGGGATTATCTCTTTACTGGTTGTTTATTTAAAACGCCACTACTAGCAATAATGCAAAATAGTGGTAGCTGTTGTATGAAGTTTGCTGTTCAATCAATTTGCTTGGTGATTTTTTTACATGGTTTCTGATCTTTTTTCCTCTAACAGATTTAGTTGCCAATAAACTGAAGTTTCTGCAGAACTGAGAGCAATGCTATCACGTTTTTGTTTGTCACTGTTTGCACGTGTGAGTGGTTGAGACAGAGAGGGGTAAAAAAGTGGCATTTTCGACACACGGTGGTAATCTGCAGGAAAATATTCTACATGTGCAGTATGTTAGGGAACATGAAACATGGATAACGTTGTTAATTGTGGTTTTTATGGTTAAGTGGATTGCTGGAAAGAATATGTAACGGCTCATCCTGGGATCTATTTGGTCCGCTCAGAAGTACAAAAGGAGGGCGAGCGCCTGAAAATGAAAAGCGCTGCTCAGCAAAACAGGGAGGGAGGAAGGCGCTGGGCTCTCCCTTGCTCAAGTCATGCCTGCCGACGTTCCCCATTCCCCTGGCATTTCGCCCCGCGACCGAAGAAAAGCGCCGTCTCCCTGCCGCTTGGCCCAACCGGGGGCTGCTGGCTGCGGGGTGGACGGGCCT